CTCTCACCCTCTCTCGCTCTCACCCTTTCTCTCTCTCTGTCTCTCTCTCTTCCTCTCCTTGTTCTCTCTGCCCCTCTCCCCACCCTCCCCTCCCTCTCTCTCTCCACCCCCCCACCGCCGTCCCGACACCTTCCTCAGGAATTCTTGGATGAGGATTACCGGTACATTGTGGATGGTTGGAAGGAGAAGGTGTTTCGCAGTGAGCAGGGCGATCAGCGGTGGGCCTTATTCTACGCCGAGAAACCTGGCACTGGGAGCCTGATCCCAGCCGGAGCTGGGGGGAGGGCTGGAGGGGCAGCACAATGTGGGACCAAGGGCGAGTGAGTCCTTCCGGCTTCTCTCGTGGGAAGTGCAGGAAGTGTCCAAAACCAGCAGCACAGGAGATCGGGCTGAACGGCCTCCTCCTGTCAGCTCCAGTTTTGTTGTTTGTTTGGGGGGGGTGGTGGGGGTGGGGGCGGTGTGGCGAGGAAAACGGGTGCGTGTTCCATACTATTGTGCTCCTCTTTAGAAGAATAAACTCCTGGTCTTTAATACATACCAGCGGCTCGACTCCCACTCTCTCCCACCGCCTGCTCCGATGCCACACAGCGAGAATCATCGGAAACGCTCCGATCAAACTCCAGCCCGTTCTATCTCCCCATCCGTCTCCCAGCTGGATTTCGCCCCTTCCCCCATCCTCTCTCTCCTCCCCGTCCCCCTCAATATCAATCGTATCCATTTACTGGTCAATATTTGAATGACCGACACGGTAGTTAAAGGGAAAAAACAAAGGAACAAAAAAAAAGTCTTGGTGATTTTGATGGTGGGAAAGTCGCTCTGTTGTACGTAAAAGCATTTCCGTGTCTATCCGAACGAAACTCAAACTTCCCACCCCTTCAAGCCCCTAACCCGCCGGCTCCTCCCCCACCCCCCCAAACACCCCTCGTCATCCTGCCCCTGAGCCGAACCGGCCACAAACAACCAGCTGCATTTCTCTAGCGACTTTTATACAGATGTCCCACGGGAGCTTCTTAAAAGAAAACAGAAGGTCGGGGTCGGGGGGTGGGGGGGCGCGGGTGGAGGAGGGTGTTTGTAGTTGGGAACAGGATTCTGGAGGGAATTCCCGAGCTCAGGGCCCCAGGGCAGCTGAAGTCAATGGCAGAGCAATGGGAATTTGGGGATGCTCGAGAGGCCGGAATTGGAGGAGGTGACAGAGATAGGGAGGTGGTGTAGGGGCCGGAGGAGGTGACGGGGATAGGGAGGAGGTGCAGGGGCTTGAGGAGGTGACAGAGATAGGGATGGGGTGTAGGGGCTTGAGGGGGTGACGGGGATAGGGAGG